TGTGCATGGGTTTTACTCAACCAGCTACTCTGCAGAGGCTTGGTGAGTCCCTTTTGCATGCCAGGAGGCACCAGGACCCAGCAGGGAGCAAGCCCCAGAGGCCTCCCCTCAGGCACTGCCAGCCAAGTGCAGATCAGGAACCCCCTTAACCCCAGGTGTTATAGTGCCCTCGGCCCCCAAGGGGGTCTTGACACACTTCCTCCCACTCACACGAAGGCCTAAGTTCAGCAAGGTGAAGCCAGCTGCCCGGGTCACCCACACAGGACTGTGGAGCCCATAACGGAGACACTGCTCACATCCCCCAAGGCACCGGCCTCACAGCTCTGCAGAAGTCAGCTGCTATGCAGCGTGAGGGACCCTCAAGGCAATGAGGCCTGGTGTGGTGACCCGAGCAGGCGGTATTCTGGGAGTCCAGCAGGGGTGACCAGGGTGATCAGGCAAAGGGACACAGAAGGCACCGTTTGCTGAGGCCCATCCCTAAGGGATCCCAGTGCAAAGCATCTGCATTCACAGCCTGGCTCACCTCACTGATAGGTACCAAGCCTCAGTGTCCCCCTCTATCAAATGGGAACAGTCGTAGCTTTCACTTGTAGGGCTGTGTGGGGATCCAGCGCACTAACCCAGGCTCACCAGATGATCGGATTCGTGTTTGTTGAATGGAAGAGCATGAGGAGGTGGAACCAGGTCAGGCCGCAGGCTGTCCCCAAAGCACAGTAAAACAACACCAAGCCACACCAAAAAACAATAAGGCCAAGGAGAGGAGACAGCTGAATGAAGCCCAGGAAGGACTTGGAGATGATGACTCTGTGGGCTGTCAAACCGTTCAGAGCTGCCCAAGACAAGGCCCACCTCTGCCCTCAGGCTGGAGTGGCCTCACCATAGCCTGCTCTCAAAGAGCAGACTTGCTTGGTGCAGCTGGGCACTTTCCACAGTGCCACAGCCACTCTGGGCCATGCTGGCTCCCACAGAATCCCAGCAGCTGCCAGCTCGGGCTGGCTTCTGAGCAGGGCTGGTTGCAGAATTTTTGAGGCCCCTTGGTCAAATATGATTAATTACTGCAAACTTCAAGGCACCATTAGCAGCAGAGCCCTGAACTCCTGCATGCAGGGGGAGCACGCCAGGTGTGAGGTACCTTGTGAGGATGCCTGCACCCCGTCCTGCTCGGTGTCAGAAGCAGAGCCATCTCCCCAGGTCTAGACAATGCTGTGTGGCAGATTCTACCGACGAGCAGGGCTGGCAGTGGCACAAACTGGCCCGAGTCCCCAAGTGTGCCATCCCCACAACCGTTCAGGAGACAAACTCATCTCACAGTTCTGTGTCCAGAGCTGTGCTTGGAAGCATGGATCTCCAGGGCCCTTGGTGCCTATGCGGTCCACAGCTTTACCTTTGCACCTACTGCCCCTGGCCGGGCTCCCTCTCCACTGTCCCTGACCTATTGGCTCCCACGGCCCCAGAGAGGCGGCCCTGACTACCTACATTCAGGTTGCCTCCAGACCCTCTCTCCTTTGGTGTCCTCCTTTAGAATCATCAACCAGGCTCTCTGCTTACATCTCACCTTCCAGAATGTGAGCCTCAGAGGAGGAAGAGCTTGCATGGTGCTCTTGATGGTTGCTCAGTTCGTAGTTTGAACAAGATGCCTTTTCCTCTAGGAAGACCTCCCTGATTGTGCCCCAAACCTGGCCTCTGGCTCGTCAGCACCATAACTGAAATGATGTTGCTGAGTTACAGGTTCACATGTGAATCTATGGTCCCCTTTCCTCTCCAAGATGTCACATGAGGGCAGGTCCTCTGTTTTATTCACAATCCGGTGCCCAGTGTAGATCCTGGCACTGAGTAGCAGCACAGCATTGGTTGACTGAGCAGAGAAACTTCTTTCCCTGGCACTAAACCTGCTGCTGGGTGGGGCCCTCCTCTCTAGCACCGTACTCCAGGCCAAGCTCCGCTCACCTGACCTGTGGACCTCCCATCCTTGCCCCAGTCACCTTGAGCTGAATCTGTACGTCACAAACACTGCTCTGTGTGTCCAGCCTGACTGGGACTCTGTCCACTTTCAGCTGAAATTGCAGCAGGACAATCTCCAGCCACAGGATTACCAGATTCAACAAAAATATACGACACGTCCCGCTGAGCTGGAGTCTCAGCTAAGCACCAGATAAATTTTTAGAGCAAGTAAAAAGTCTCAAATACCACGTGGGAGAAGCCGTATATTGCTCATGGTTTCCACGCAATTCAGATTTCACCTGGTGTCCTGTACTTTATGTGGCAGCCCTAGGCGCCCATGGGTGTGTGTGGGGTCAAACCTTTGTTCTTAAGTTATTCTGTCTTTTCCCGCTGGCTGGGGCCCTGTCAGAGCTAGTCATCCATCTGTTCACCTAGACAACGGAAGGTAGAATGAAAGTAAGGTGACAGCTGCTAGGACCTCCCTTCCCCTGGTTGCCATGAGGATTATGTAACACAGGAGTTAATAAGTAGTCACTTATATTCTTTTAAGACATTGATGACCCTTGAGTCCCCGAAGTTTCCCTGGGCCGAAAAGGAAACAGAAGTCAGAGAGGCGAAGATATTTAGCCCAGGTCGCCCTGCTCCTTTTGCACTGGTCTTTCTGGGCCCACTTCTGACCACCACGCTCCAGCCCTCTGAGCAGAACTGGCTTTAGAACTAGGCCCAGAGGTCACTCAGCCAGTCTCAGGGGACACCGTGGGCACAGGGGGGTCACACTGTGGCACACAGTAAATGGTGGTGATGGCCGCTGTCCTAGACAGATCAATGGAAGGTCAATCGCCCTGGGGAGGTTTGTTGTTTTGTCAATCCTCTGAATTAACTGGTTAGTTTTGCCTGCTGGCGTTCAACCTCCATTGTGTAAAAGCTGCTTCATTTCCAAGACAATCAACGTGTGATTTCTCAGTGCCAGACGAGCCAGATCTCCTGCAAGAGACTTCCCGGAGGGCAGGGGCTGTGTCTGGCATTGCAGAATTTGCCAGCACGGGCTGGGCTGGCATTCAGTGAAGTTTGTCAATTGAATGAAGACAAGGCCTGCAAGGAAGTCTAGTAATTGTGGTCTCCAGTGGCGTGGGACAGGAGTGGGGCCACCCCAAGGTCCAGACAACACTTTCGCTGCCCCCCCCCCCAAGCTACCCTCAGGATTCCCCTAGCTTATTTTGCAAGGAACCCCAGCCCAGTTGCAGCAAGACCTCCCTTGGTGAAAGACCTGCCTGACCTGGACCTCTCGGCAGGGGCAAGGCCTGGCCTGGGCTGGCTGTGGCCTTGAGACTGAATCTCCCTGTGGAACAGATGGCTGTCAGCATCTCGGGCCCTCCCTCTGGGCTGCATCCTCTGGCTTCCCCAGCCTCAGAGCCCTGGTACCCTGTGAGCTAGAACCTTCAGGAACACTCCCACCCTGCCTTTCAGGAGGAGCTGCAGGCCCTGCAAAGCAAGCTCCGGGCACCGGGCACCTCAAGGCAAGCACTGCCATTCCCGCTGCCTTCTAGGAGCCAGCAGGGTGCATTCGCCCCGGGCCAGACTGTTCTGCCCTCTGCTCCACCGTCACCGCCCAAATCCTCCCTTCGGTCTTCTACCTAAGCTACTAAGAACGAAGTAACTTGCAAAGGTTTCTTCTGCCTCGGATACAAAAGGAGCCCAGCTCATTAATGAAGCTGCAAGCATTGCAGAAGCGCTGCCTGTGGAGCTGGAGGGGGGTACAGATACCGCGGGGGCCTCCGCAGGAACTCAAGGGCTGCCGCTGTGTGACCTTAAGCAAGCCACCTCGCTGGCCAGCTTCCCGCTCTGTAAAATGCAGACCCCACTGTCTGGCCTCCGCAAGCCGGCGTCCGGCTGAGGTAATACTTGGCACGTCTCTGGCACCCAGGAGGCGCTCCAGGAGCGCTTGTTTAATCAGTGGAAATTTAGGAAAGGGCCTAAGAGGCGCCACACCAAATTTTTGAGAGCTGCAGAGTTGTGTGCTGGGGAGGGAGGCCTCTTATGTAATACTGTAATATCTTTTCAAACCTGGAGAATGTGTTCTTGTCATTAAAACTCAATGAAATAAAGTACACGCCCGCACACCCTTCACCAAACTCGGAGCCACGCCCCCCAGCCCGTGGCCCCCAGGGCACCAGACAATGCTTGTGGACCTGGCCCGGGCCTCCCGGGTCCGCGCAGCTCCGAGACCCCGGCCTGCGGTGCGCATTTACTCCAGGGCCCCCTGGCGTTGCTTCGAGCCCTCCCGTGCCCTCCCCTTCCAGATCCAGCGTCCGGCTCGGGTTAAAGTGCGCGGAGGGCGCAGGGGGCTGGGAGCCCGCCAGCGGGGAGCCTCGGGCGAAATCGGGATTTTGGCGAGGGCTCCTCCCCCTGGCTCTGACTCCCCTGCCCCGAACCTCCGGGGACCTCGTGCTCTGCCACAGACAGACTACCCCCAAAAGCGGGGTGTCGAACCCAGGGGAGGGGACGAGGGGAGTTGGCCGGCCCGTCGCCGCGGGCCTCGCTCCCGGGACCGGCCCGGCGTCCACCCGCTGCGGGCTGGAGAGGTGCACAGCGCCCCCCCGCCGCCACGCGGGTCCCGCGTCCGCACGGGCCGCCGAGCCTGGCCCTTTAAGAGCCCGCCCCGTTTCCCGGCTCCCCGCCCCCTGGCCCGGGGAGGGGGTGCGGGGGAACCTCGGCTGGGATTGGCGCAGCGCGCGCCCCCTCCCCGGCCCCCGCGCGGTGGGAACCGGCAGCCCCGTCTAGCGCTGACGTCAGACCGTCTGCCTGCCTCCGACCGCGGTCTCGGGGCGAAACCCGATCTCCTTGGACTTGAATGAGGAGGAGGCGGCGGCGGCGGAGGCGCTCGGCTGGGGAAAGCCAGCGGCGGAGGCTCAGCCCCGGCGGCGGCGCGCGCCCCGGCTGCCGGCCCATTTTCCGGACGCCACCCGCCGGCCCCGCCGACGCCCCCGGGGCTGCCGATCGGCGGCCGGGGGACGCGGAGGAGCGCGGCCCCGCGCGCTGAGCCCCGCGGCGCCCCGGGAACTTGGCGGCGCCCCGAGCCGGGCGAGCCGGGGCGCGCCTCCCCCGCCGCGCGCCTCCTGCATGCGGGGCCCGAGCCCCGGGCGCCGGCCGGAGCCCCCCCCGGCCGCCCCCGCGCCCCGCGCCGCGCCGCCGCGCCGTCCATGCACCGCTTGATGGGGGTCAACAGCACCGCCGCCGCCGCCGCCGCCGGGCAGCCCAATGTCTCCTGCACGTGCAACTGCAAGCGCTCTTTGTTCCAGAGCATGGAGATCAGTGAGTGACCCCGCGCTCCCCTCCGCCGAGGCCCCGCGCGGCTCGGACCCGTGTCTGGGCGCGGCCGCGGACCGGCCCGGCCCGTGCGCGCCCTCTCGGGCCGTGCGCCCCGCGTCCCGGCTGCGCCCGCCGCGCCCCGGGCGCGCCCTCCCGGCTCGCGGCAGCTGGCGGCCGGCCCGGCTTTGTCCCGCGGCGCTGCGAGCCTGGCACTGCCCGCGCCCCGCCCGCCCGCACTCGGACCCGGGGCCCCGGGCGGCGCGGGAGGGCTGGGGCGGCCGAACCCGCGAAGTTTCCATTTTATTTCCCTAAGGGGCAGTGGCGGTGGAGCAGTCAGGCCGGAGCTGTACCAACTTCGGGCGGGGGGCGGGCGGGCGTGTTAGACGCTGTCTGGTGTGCGGGGTGTCTGGGGCGCGGGCTGTGTCTGGAGTGTGCGGTGCCGCGGTGCCTTCGCGAGTGGGTTTCCGTGGCTCCGTGGAGTGTGAGCGCGTGTGTCTGCCTGGGTCGCGGTTGTGTCTCTGGAGTGCGCGTGTGTCTGTCTGTCTGGATCGCGGGGCCACTATGGGTGTCTGTGGGTCTGAGTCGCATCTGTCCCGGGACCGTGCTTCTGAGGAGTCTCCCTGATTTGTGCGGGGGGCCGGCTGCCTCTCCAGCGTGTGCCTCTCGGGGGCGGGGGGCTCTGGTCCAGATCCCCTTTGGATCCCGGGGCCTTTTGTGCCCAGGTGTCTGTGTCCAGGTTTCAGCACCGGTGCCCCTGGCCTAAGGTGGATCCCGACAGAGAGAGAGAAAGAGAAAGAAAGAGAGAGAGAGAATGTGTCATTGTGAGTGTCTGTGTTCCCGACGCACCTATAAATAGCCTCTGTCTGGACAGCTTGGCTCAGGCTGGCTGGGACGGTGGTTACAAATGAGTCAAAGTTTGAGGCCATTAGGGTTTGGGTCTGCCTTGTTCTGGAGAGGCCGGTGGAACAGTGCCGGGGAGCCTCAGACACGGTCAACATCCTGTGCATCCAGAAGTGAAACCAGGGAGCCTCTGGGAGTGTCACCCGCCCCCACCCACTCCCCTCGTGGCTGCTCCGCAGGGTGGGGGATTGAACCCTCCCGTCTCGGTCTCAGACTTCTGATTGGAGTTGTCATCCTCTCCCCCAGCCCACTCTTCTGGAACCCTTTGCCTCTCTGAGCTTCAGTTTCTCATTCTGCCCAGAAGCACCCAGGTGCAAGGCCACACAGCCCTTCCCTGTCCAAGCCAAGCAGAAGTCCAGGGGCAACTGCCATGGAACCAGGGCAGTCACTAGGTGACTCATAAGCCAGCTTCCACAGGCGGCTGCCACGGGTTGGGGCCCCTAAGCCTGTACAGTGAGGCACAAGAGGTAAAAATAACCCATGACAGCCCATCTGTGGCAGGGTGGCCAGGCTTTGGTGGTGTGTCCTTCCACCCACCTCAACCCACTCCTCCCATCCTGGAATTGAAAGTCCTGCTCCCCTGCTCCCCCTTCTCAGCTGCCCTGTGCCAGGCCAGGAGGAGCCGGGGAACCTGCCCAGAGCCGGCGTTTGCGGACTTGCCTGACATTAAACCCAGTTGCTTCCCAAAGGCCCTTTGTGAACTTGGGAGGCTCCTGAAATGGACGAGGATATTATTAAAATATGTCGGCACATGTTTGGCCAGAGGCTTGCTGCGGGGCGTTGGTTGATTGCTGCATGAACACCCTCGCTGTCCTGTTACCCCTCTCTCTTGGACCTGCCTTAGGGTCACCTCTCCCACAGGGGTCCACACCGCGCATCACCCATTTCCTAAGGTCTAGACGCAGTCGAACATTCCGGTCAGTTTCTCTTTATATTCTGAACTTGAAAAAATAAAGTACCTTTCTTGTTTCTGGCCCAGTCAGCCCTAATGATGTTTTGCTGACACCATAGGATTTTATTAAATTCCTTCCCGTTCCCTGTGTACTTCCCCTCCAGCAGTATTGGGGGAAACCGTTGGGGCTAAGTGTCTGGAACCCTGACCTCTTCCCTGGGTGCCCAGTTGGCCCTCAGCCTCTGGGGATACACTGGCCACTTAGGCTGGGAGGGAATCAGTCTTTAAAATGTAACAGTGTGTTGCAAGTGGTAACCACTGAGAGCCCTGGGTGAAAGAGCCTTAAGGGGAGATTTTTTTTTTTCTTGGAGTTCCTTTATAGGGAGAGATAGGAGGAGGAGGAAGAGGAGGAGGAGGAACAGGGGGAGGAGGGGGAAGGGCGTGGGGCCGCCCTGCTGTGTATTTAGGTGTTGGAAGCAGTTTGCCACTGTGCAGATCTGGGTTTGGAGTTGGGCCCCCGTGCAGTGTCCATGGGGTTCCTTTAAAGGAATCTGCAGATGGTCCCGATCTTGTCAGGGTCCTTAAGCCACCGTTGGCCTTAGTGTCGTTTGCAAAGTGAGTCCATGATGGTTGAAATCTAAGGTAAAAATTGTGCAGTCTTCTCAGGTGCACGCAGTGGGTCTTCCGGAGCGTGGCTGTCCTTGGCTCCCCACCCACATTCAGTTCCCCTTGGGGTCCTCAGCTGCTCCCAGTTTCACCCCTGGAAGATGTTCGAGGCCTCAGGTTCCCGCCCTTGAGTTAGCAGCAGTGAGGTTGTGATAGAAACTGCCCAAGGTGCCCAGCCCCCTCTAGGCTTCGTGGGTTGTGGGTTTTGCTTCTCCGTGAACACGTGCTACGTCCTGGATTTGAAACTTGGGCCCAGAGCCGGCCACCTTGAACTTGGGGCCCGAGGAGCTCTATCACAAGACAATCCGAGGACCCGTCTTTTTTAGTTGTCTAGGGGTTAGGGTGCTGTCTGGTGGGTGTCATTGTTCCCAAAACACACAGTGAAAAACTGCTGCCTTGAGATGAGACACCGCAGGCACCTGGGAGCCCCCAGGAGGCCCCAGCTGAGGGTTCTCTGAGGTCGCTGTGAACGACAGGCCTCTCCAGAGTCACATTTTTTTCTTGGCACTCTTTTTTGGTGGCTTTTCAATTCTGCATCTTTCAGAAATACCCCTCTCCCTTCTCTGCCTGGACGGCCTGGCTCCTGGACCGTGTGGTTCTGGCTCATGAGCAGGGGTTCCTGGGGGACCCTGGGGTTTCCTGGATGCACCCCTAGAAGCCTCTACAGTGACATTGTGTTTTGTTAACACTGCTGGCTGTCCAGAGTCCTTAACCCCCTCTTTCCTTTTCTCCAGCCTCTTCCAAAAAACATCCCAGAGTCCCCAAAACTCCCCAGATACCAGCTTTCCGTGGGTTTGTCAGGCACATACCGTTCTGGTGTAACATTGTACAAATCCGGAGTCCCAGACGCAGCATCAGGATCTTTCAGGCCGGAAGAGTCCCTTGTCCGGTGGCGGCGAGGAAGGTTGTTTGAAGCAGGCAGTAGCCCTGGGCTCCCCCCACTGGATGGCAGTGCCCGGCTCCCACTGGTGAGGACCAGAGACATTTCCGACTTGACCCAGTGTCCCGGCTGAGACCTGCTGTGTTACCAGCTGTCGGTTCCACCGGAATGCAGGAGGCCTGGGGCAGCATCTGAGTTGCTAAAGTGACTTTGGTCATGCTGTCCCCCAAGAGCAGTGCTTATAAAGACCCACAGCATGGGCTCCCCAGGTTGGCACCAGTCCCTTGTTCCCTCAGCCTTTATTGAGCGCCTGTTGTGTGCCACCAGGGGGTGGGGACAGTCTCCTCTGGAGGGGAGGCTTTCTCTTTTTGTCTTAGGTTTGTTTTTGTCAGGGCAGCTTGGTGCCAGAAGAGCTTGGCGTTTGGGGATTCGGGTTCCGCCGTGGGTGTCGGTGCCAGCTGTGTCCCCGCGGGCCTGTAAGCTGGGACTTGGAACCCACGGGTTTCCTGCCGTCTGGGTTTTAGGTCACGGGGCAACGAGGGAGGGAGTTGCGTGTTGTGACTGGATCTTAGGTCAGACGGTTGGCTGCTGGGATAAGCCAGCTCTGCCTCAGGGTGAGCCGGGGCCAGGGCCAGCGCAGCTCCAGTCACGATGCAGAATAGCCAGTTGTTTCTGCACACACACACACACACACACACACACACACACGCACACACATTCACACACGTGTGCGCAGCCACTGCCCCTTTGCTCCTCCCCTGCTGGCTCCCCTTTGGGTTAGCAATGGTTAAGACGCAGGTATGTGGGGGAGATACAGGGAGAAGTGGCACTTTCCTGTCTGGCTTCTGCAAAGTTATGCTCCTTCCCTTGGGAGAGGAGGAGGACTGGGAACATGTGTGGTTGCCCAGGAGAAGGAGGGTGCGGAGGTCAGGGTTTTCTTTGGGGTGTCTCTGGGGCGTCCCTTCGCCCTGTAGGATGACATCCCATCCGACAGCGCTGGAGCATGGCTCCTATGGCCTAGAAACCAGACTTGGGTGTGGAAACATTTTTGATTGGGTCCATCCTTGAAAAGTAAGCAGAATGTCCAGGAGAAGCGTGCTGGCGGTGGGTTCCGAACCAGAAGACCCGTGTGACCCTTTTTCTCCTGGTCGGCAGCCGAACTCTGCCCTGAAGGAGACAGCTCCGAATTTGCCTTGCAGGGCTGCACCCTGCCAGCCCGGGTTCTTGTCTCCTGCATACGCCTGGAGCGCATCAAAGCCGAGGGCTGGCTTTGGCTTTGTACAAGGTGTTGTGTAACGCAGGCGTGGTGGGGCACGTGTGGGGAGCTGGCGGGTACTGGGGTGCCTGCCCCCTGTACTTCCCAGGGATGATGAAGATGGTACCGTGCCGCCCTGGGGCTTCTGTGGCCCAAAAGCAGGGCTCATGGTGAACCGAGCTCTCTCCTGGGTGGCTGCAGCGACCTGGGGTGTGAGTTTTCCTGAAGGGGTGCCTGTGGCCTGGGGCGCAGCTCCACGGGAGAGCATTTTCCTAGGACGTGTGGAGGTTTACGTTCTGTCCCCAGCTCTGCAGACACGTATTTAAAAAGGGGCTGCTGCTTCCCCTGAGCGCAGTGGCCCTGCGTGGCCAGCCCTTTTGATCCCAGCCAGCCTGGGTGGCCAGATTTGT